AGAGCGCGGCACGGGCACGGCAGAGCGCGGCACGGGCCCGGAATGAGGATGTGCACCGCTCAAAGGCCGTGGTCCATTGTCGAGCCGCCCCAATTAAGAAATGGCTACAACACCGCCGGCGTCTTTGTGAAGCCGTCTGTGGTAACCAGGTGTGAACAGCCAACAACAAACGAGACCTGTTTTTGTTCCGAGCCCTACAACTTGTTATGGGCCGCAGGACGAGCTCAGCGACAGGAAAGAATGATGTCCGTTTGCATTCATTCGGCCTGGTCAATATTTCCTTCGCGACAGCTCGTGACAATGCTCGTGAAAGAAGTCGAGTAGTTTTACACTTCGAGTTACGGTAATGGGCATTGTTGCTATCAGTTTGACGCAGATCGACACGATTTCCTTCGCAAACTTTCGCCAAATATGGCCCTGGGATCGACGGGACCGCTCGAAACGTCAACCAGGAACAATCCATGTGTAACGCTCAAGAAAGGAAACCCGTGTTTAGCTACTCGGTCATTGTGCAAATGTCCGTCGCTTCCGATTCGTTGCATGTTCAGCTGTCCGTCGTCTTAATCATGTTGTCATTCCGGCATTTGCGCCTTTGCCTATTGGCATTAGCTTAAGCCTCAGTGCACCACTTTGCGTCTTGTTTTACTAAGCTCTGCTAAGCACTGCTCAAACACACGTGGATGACTGTCCAGAGCTGAGCTCGACTCGCAGTGGCGTCTCCAGGGACCAGGGCGGGGAGGCAGCGACACACCGAAGCTATCATCCCTCGAGCTCATGTGACCGACGCGACAAGGGGTTGGCGGCGCCCGCCCCTCGCGTCCCTCCCTGCCCGGCCGGAGGGCAGCTGTGAGCTGGGCCTGCGTCCGTCGCGCGGTCCGGAGTCACGCTATAACTGTTATCGCCATATCTGGCCACAGTGGCGGCGCCAGATGGCTAGCTCCCACACTGGAGAGAGAGAGAGAGAGAGAGAGAGAGAGAGAGAGAGAGAGAGAGAGAGAGAGAGAGAGAGAGAGAGAGAGAGAGAGAGAGAGAGAGGGAGAGAGAGCCGTCAGCGCTGTGACCAGTGGGGGGTGCCGGCTGCTGCCCACGGCCGCTCCTAATAGCCTTTTGAGAGCCCTCGGTCCCGACTGTGAGCTCATGTGTGACAGACTCAAAAGCTGGGACGTTCAGACACCTACAGACGTTTTTGGTAGGTGATAGGAATGCACAGCTTCATTTTAATCGATAAATAATTGAGGCTCGAGTTGAGTTCGAGCTTCTGATTCTTCAAGAGGTCATAACTCAGAAGACAGGACGATTGTCACAGGAGGTCTGACCCTGATGGTGCATGATGACAGTCCTGAAAAACGTCATATCTGACAGTTCCTAGGAAAGCCAAGGAACGACCGACTGAAGGTCAGTATCTGACGGGTCCCAGGACCGGTGGTCAGTTCTATCGACTCCTAAGACGGGCTTTCAGTCCTGACGGCTCCCAGGACTGGAGGTCAGTTTTGACGGCTCCCAGGGCCCGTGGTCAGTCCTTACGGCTCTGAGATGCAACCAGAGGTCCCTTCTGACGGCTGCCAGGACCAGCGGTCAGTTTGAGCGCTCCCAGGGCCGTTGGTCAGTCTCCGATGGCGGCCCGGGCCGGCAGCGCGACCGCCTGGCGCCACCGTCTGACAGTTGCGCTGTTTTTGTCGCCAGTCTGCGTCGTTTTTGTCGCCGGCCATGTCCGTTGTTTAACCGCGTGCACGGCTAGTAGTGCATGAATATCGGAATAATTAGCCACTCTCGGGACAGCCGGCTGTGTCGGGCCCTTAGTAGCGCTGGTTCAGATAAAAGAAGAACAAGGATCTTGGGACGTGACTTGTTAATTTACTGCTGCTGTTACATGCTATTAAATGGTGACTCCGTATAAAGAATACTTGTTAGAGTTTTCTAAGGAGTTCTTTTGTTACGTTACATTCCAAAAGTGGCTCATACCTATGGCATGGATTTGACTCAGGGTGCTGTTTAGCGTTCTTTTTGTGTTGCATTATAGCTTGTAACTGCTTTTCCATCGGGTATAAATACAATGGAGACACAGAGAGCCATACAATGGAGACACAGAGAGCCAGGGTGATCAGCGCGCATACAAATGCCGTTCGGGCGAACCATTTTACGTCCGGGGATAGAGCGGCCGGCTTACGGACATTAGGCGATTCCGCTCACGAATAACGGTCCATTAGCTGATGAAAAAAGGCGGAGGAAAGGGGAAACTGCGGACAAGAAGCGGCTATTAGGTCGCAGGAAAGGCCGCAAGAGTGTCACCTCCGTTCAGTTTAGCAGTATGCTTTGCTCTTTTCTCTCTGCATTCATGATCTGGTGGCAGTTGTCAGGTCAAACATCGATTGCAAGGGATTGGCGATCAAACGGTTTTCTTGTTAGTATTATTTGGTTCCGGTTGATTTTTAAATGTTAACCCGCGCGGGGCTGGGGTCTCCAGCCAAACGCGCGGGGCTGGGGGTGTAAATTTTACCCCCCCCCCCCTGTTATCTCCCGAACTAATGGTCCGATTTGGAAAATTCAAACGCCAATCGAAAGATCTCATCACGAACGACTAAACACATGTACTTAATTTATAGTTTGAGGTCAAGGTCAAGGTCAGGTCAAGGGTACAAATTGCAAGTTCCTACAGTATCGGCCTTGCACCGTAGTTGCCGAAGAATGGAGTCATGGACTGAGACTGATTGCCCAAAACGTGTTCTTAGGCTACCAAGACAATATTCGTTGCATACAATATCATTCAGAGGTCAAGGTCAAGGTCAGGTCAGGTCAGGTCAGGTCACCAAAAACAAAATATAGAAAAGGGCATGTGCGACACATGTTTTATGGGTGATTTTACTCATAGAATTCAATAGGCACACTCAATAAGTGATATGGACCACCTCTGGATGAATTTCAGGTCAAGGTCAGGTCAAGGTCAGGTCAAGTGAGGTCAAATTTAAAGTTGGTTGTTAAGGCCTAAAAAGGTGTCTATCAGATGCAGTTTTTCACGGCAAATCGAATGGTGCTATTTTTGTTTCCGTACGAGGTCTACCAAAAAAAATCATTTTTAAATTTTTTTGTATGTCGTGACGTCATAAAATGTTTAATAACTCCCACATTTTTGAACCGGTTCTTCTAAAAATTGGTATGTAGGTGCACATAGAGCACTTCTCTGACATATATTCCGGTTTTTCCGATACACTCAAAATTTTGGATTTTATAATTATTTTCCCAAAAAAGTATGTTTTTTGAAAATTTTTGGCCAAAATTCAAAATTTTCAAAAAACCGAGATAGCCATTTGATAGACAAAGTAGAATTACGTATAACCTTTTTTGTTACGTCTTGATTCCTTTAAAAATGAAGATGTTAGCGGCGTTTGAAATTTTGCCGTTTTTGAGGCGAACATGGCGAACATGACGTCACTAAAACGTCAATTTCTCAAAAAAAATCCGATGTATTTCGCTCAAATTTTCAGGGAACGTGTCAAATTGATGTAAGAAAAGGTACTAAAAGTTTGGTTTTTGAGATCTTGCAAAAATTCGCGAGGGGGGTAAAATTTACCCCCCAGCCCCGCGCGGGTTAAGAAACGTATCATCCTTATTAACATTTATGAATCAGAACACTAAGATAAGCTTCTATGGCGATTTTACTCATGTTGATGGCATTAATTTGGCATTAGCAACAAGGAAAAGTGTTACTAAGCGGCTAAGCTATCGCTGTGTCGTAAGTCATTAGATATTGTCTAACAAGGAACTCCTGTGCGCTCTGTCCGCTCTCACGACTTCTATCAAACTTCTATATTTAAGCCCACCAAACCACAACTATGCATTGCCTAAATTGGCAGTATCCTTCAGATAACATTCGTCAATCAGCCTTAGAAACAGCAAAACTTTACTCCAGTCAATAAAACAACCAAACCTAACGCACCTACATATAGCATAAAGCATTGCAATGACTTCCAGTAATGGATCATTCAGTTTATCAGTAACTCAAAACGATCGCAAAGCTGCATGTTCACTCAACTGTCCTACAATAAGTTTTCATCAGAAATGGTTCCTGTCTTTGCTCGGTATTTTTGCATGGTAGCCACCATTTATTCAATGTTCACAAGCCACATGTCATTGGCTGGGAATGGGTGAGATAACAAAATCATTTCATCGGCAATATTTTATACCACATTTAGATCATCAATACATATATGTATGGAAGAAATATGGATGCGTATATTTTGCTAAAGAACCGGAATAGCAACGCATGTCAGGTAATCTGGATGTAATGCAACGTTAAATTGCTCACATTTGCTCCGTGGATTAGACACGGCTTCCGGACACGATACCACTCAACCCTCACGTGACAGATACCAGCCCTCAGGACATTCGTGACCTGCACATGACATTCCGTGACATATCCCGTTACATTCCGTGACACATTCGTGACTCTCTGTGACGTATCCGTCACGTTCTGATGACGCCTTTTGCTGACACACGCATGTCGCATGTCTGAGCCACGTCGGGTGTGTGTGGTTCATGCGTCAGAGGAGTGACCGGCAAAGTGCGTGCGCGGATCGATCGCCCTGGGACTAGGACTGAGATGAGCGGTCGATTGTGGTCGCGCTGCCTTCAGACAATGCTGGGAAGTCGCTATCGGTGTGGGTGTTGACACAGCAGTCATTTGATGGATGGCGACAACACTCAGCTTCCGGCAATGGAGCTGCTTGCTATGGGATGTGGCATGAGGCAATGCCTCTCTGTAGAGCAGTATGTCCCTTGTTTTTCGTCTTGGACGATATGAAAGTTACACAACTAACACTTGTGTTAACGATGGAAGTGTATTTGCTATGAGGTTAAATTCTCCCACACATGATTGCTGGACTTGATCTCTTTTCCGAACATCATCATCCCACTTCATCACTCGTATCTATGTTGTATCACCGTACGCCGTCTCACTCCTGCATTCATCACATTCAACTAACTCATCCCGTCTTTTGTTCCAGAAGCTGCGGAGGACTCTGTTCGAATCAGCGACCGGGAGAGCTCGAACGGCAGCATCTCGCCGGGCGTGTCCGAGGTGGGAGAGCCGAGCACGCCCTCCAAGCCACCCCCTCCTCCCAGCCCCCCGCCCGCCTCCGCCTCCTCCAAGACCGAGGACACGCCCAAGCCGCGCATCTGGTCCCTGGCTCACACGGCCATGTCCGGTAGTGAGCGGCCCAGCCTGCTGCCTCCTGGGTTCCCGCCGCTACCTAAGATCACCTCCAGCCATGCGTCGCCGTTGTACCCCTACTCGTCGGCGTTCAGCCCCCTGAAGCCGTGGCTGGGCCGCCCATACCCAGTCAGCTCTCTGGCGGCGCTCGGTGTCGGCGCGCTGGGCCCGCTGACCGCCGCTGGCAGGGGCCTGGCGCAGGTCAGCACGGTCAGCAGCTCAGCGCTGACCGAGGCGGCGTCAGCGGCGGCGGCGGCGGCGGCTTCGGCAGCAGCCGGGCCGCCACCGCCCGCGCCGCGCTCCCCGGCACTGGCTCCAGCGTCTCCGGGAGCGGCTCCGCGCGCGGCCCTCTCCCCCAGAGAGCGATTCTCCGTGTCCGAGCTCTGCAGGAAAGAGGATGAAGGCGAGAGGAGGTTGCGGTTCTGATGGGGTGTTGTCTGATGTGTGGATGTGCAGAGCGGTGCTGGCACGCGACAGCGAGAGGACGGGACGTTCGTGAGCGGAGTTGTGCCACCTCAGCTTCCGGGAGAACTCCGGGGCACTCCTAGGGCGTTCCGGGGGCGCTTCCGGGGAGTTTCGTGGGCGTTCTGGGCGCGGCCAAGCGGCGGTTGTGCCCGAAATTTGGTGGTGAAATGTTAGCCAATCGCGCGAAGTCGCGAGCGCCAGTGCGAAGGTGGCACGTCTCGCTGAAACGCCCAGGGCAGATCCGCGCGGCGATCCGCGAGCCTGACCTGACCTGACCTTATGTGGCCGCGCGCGTTGGCGGCGCTCCTGCCGCTCCAGTATTGGACAATAGTCGGGCGAGTGGTGGGCAGAGTGTGTTTGTATGACCCGGTTACCAGCCGAACCCTCATTGATATTAGCTTATGCTTGTTGTGGTATGACCCGTGCGTGCACATTTACTGGCCTCGTTTGCAGTTCGGTTTTGTTTTGTTCTTGTTTCTGTAGATAACACATACGGATCAACACGTCGGTGTATCTATTTACTGTTTTGTAATGCTGTATATGGAAATAAATATACTATATTGTCTTTTGGAGTTCATTGGTTTCAGGCCGACTGATTTGTATTCAAAGTATGTAACCTATTTTAGGGGTTATAAGACAAAAATGTTACTTCCCAACAACTGGGTCCTGTGACCCGATTGTAAAACTATTTTCACTGGTTGCTGTGAATGTGATCTTAGTGTTGTTTAAAGCATAAAGTACATGTGTTGCCATTTGCCACTAAGCCGAGGAAGTTTCTTCAATTCCAAAACGTAAAGTTTACAAGGACAGTTTTACAGCCATAACTTCTTTCCAATAAACGCCATCATGTATGATTGGCTTTACAACATGCGCGTAAGCTTCCTCCGAACAGGAACTTCAACAATTAACCGTTGCTGGCTATCGGCTGTACCTAATCTGTATGACGCTATTCACGACAAAGGTGTGCAATGTTTTCCTTTACATTTTACCTCGTGCCACTAAAGAATATCAAGTTTAATCAGTGTCGACCTGACGTGCTTACATACCTACCACTGACCACCAGAGCTCCTTCAGTTTTGAGGAAACGAGAGATGCAGCAAGCTAGATAAGATTCGTGTGATATGTGTAAAGAATTCAATCACATCTTCTCTAGTCAACATGAATGCCAGTAAACAGCATCATGTAACTAATAACCCGTTCCTCGGTCAAAATACTGACGGTCGTTTTATCTGCCTTGCAATGTTCATGTGCTGGAAATGGCAAACACCACATGAGCAATGTGACGAAATAAGTAAGATTGTAAGGTAACATTTGAAGTGGCAGACATGCTAGGCCTAATAAATCACATAATGAATAACAAGGGATTTGGGTGAAAACTTGTAGACAGTTCCTCATGAGTCACGAAGCGGAAAATGTGCGAGTTTTCTTGTTTGCAAATCCCCTGTTCCGTGTTGCGGCTCAGAAGTTGCGCCTTTTCATTAACTGCCGACTCACGGACACATCAATTTAACAAGCTAACAAAGTTGCACATAATAAGTGCAGTTAACCTGTCACATCAAGGCGCAAGCAAATGGAAACGGTGACGCAAAACAGTGGAAATAAGCACTGATAAAAATTCCATAAAATGCAATGTGCGGCCGTAATGGCACCGACAACTTAATAAAAAATGGACTTTCTTGCCTTAACGATATCTGTTGGTCAGGACGGCTAGTTAAAAACAGGCCATCGGTGAGGAATGAGGATGGTAGGCACTCAGATAAGTTCCAGCTATCACTCTTACCAGCACGGCGTCGTATCAGCGCTTGGGTCGGATGTTTCATGCTGTCAGA